CTGGTTTAGACCTGCTTCAGTTTAGTCCTGGTTTAGACTTGGTTTAGACCTGTTTCATCCTAGTTTAGTTCTGGTTTAGTCCTGGTTTAGTTTAGTCCCGGTTTAGACTTGGTTTAGTCTTGATTTAGATCTGGTTTAGACCTGGATTTGTTCTGGTTTAGACCTGTTTTAGATCTGGTTTAGTCCTTGTTTAGACCTTGTTTAGACCTGCTTTAGTTTAGTCCTGGTTTAGTCCTGGTTTAGACCTGGTTTAGTTTAGACCTGGTTTAGACCTGGTTTAATTTAGTCCTGGTTTAGTCCTGGTTTAGATCTGGTTTAGTCCTGGTTTAGATCTGGTTTAGACCTGGATTTGTTCTGGTTTAGACCTGGTTTAGACCTGGTTTAGATCTGGTTTAGTCCTTGTTTAGACCTTGTTTAGACCTGCTTTAGTTTAGTCCTGGTTTAGTCCCGGTTTAGACTTGGTTTAGTCTTGATTTAGATCTGGTTTAGATCTGGTTTAGACCTGGATTTGTTCTGGTTTAGACCTGGTTTAGACCTGTTTTAGATCTGGTTTAGTCCTTGTTTAGACCTTGTTTAGACCTGCTTTAGTTTAGTCCTGGTTTAGTCCTGGTTTAGACCTGGGTTTAGACCTGTTTAGTTTAGACCTGGTTTCCTGGTTTTAATTTAGTCCTGGTTTTAGATCTGGTTTACCTGGTTTTAGTCCTGGTTTAGATCTGGTTTAGTCTGGTTTAGATCTGGTTCTGGTTTAGACCTGGTTTAGATCTGGTTTAGACCTGGTTTAATTTAGTCCTGGTTTATTCCTGGTTTAGATCTGGTTTAGTCTTGGTTTAGACCTGGTTTAGACCTGGTTTATTCCTGGTTTATTCCTGGTTTAGATCTGGTTTAGACCTGGTTTAGATCTGGTTTTGACTTGGTTTAGTCCTGGTTTAGATCTGATTTAGTCCTTGTTTAGACCTGCTTTAGTTTAGTCCTGGTTTAGTCCTCATTTAGACCTGGACCACTCAGATATTAAACAGATATAAGGACACATGGGAGTAGAGAAAAGTGAGATTATGAAAGAGTTTAAAAACACAGTGGAGCACCATGTGATTTAACCCCTTTAAACGTCTGAATCTTTAACCTCTTTCTTTCTTTCTTTTTCTTTCTTTCTTTCTTTTTCTTTTCTTTCTTTCTTTCTGTTGTCGTGTGTGTGTTTGGTGCTCAGGATGTGACGAGATCGACGTGGACTGTCTGAAAGTGGCGGGTCTGAGCGCCGTGCCGTCGGACGCGCCGGTAAACGGAGCCAAGTATCTGTGCACGGCTCCGGGAGGAAAAGGCGCCGTGCGGGAGTTCGCCGAACACATCCGACTGCAAAAACAAAAAGCCAAATCCCAACTGGAGCAGGACCGGATCTCCCTCGCCAGCTCCTAAACACACAGACGTACAAACAAACAAATAAACACAAACAAACAAACACAAACACACAGCGGCGTTTTAAAGTGGGCGGGGTCTTACCTCTGTGGCAGTGGTTTCCAAACTGTGGTGCGGTCGTTGGTACAAAAACCCAAAAAAACCCCAAAAACAAATAAACAACAAAAAAAAAAATAGGATTTCAATTAAGAACAAAAGTCCTGGTTTTGTTTAGACCTGGTTTAGTCCTGGTTTAATTTAGTCTTGATTTAGTCCTGGTTTAGTCCTGGTTTAGTCCTGGTTTAGTCCTGGTTTAGTCCTGGTTTAGTCCTGGTTTAGTCCTGGTTTAGTTTAGTCTTGATTTAGTCCTGGTTTAGTCCTGGTTTAGACCTGGTTTAGACCTGGTTTAGTCCTGGTTTAGACCTGGTTTAGTCCTGGTTTAGTCCTGGTTTAGTCCTGGTTTAGATTTGGTTTAGACCTGGTTTAGACCTGGTTTAGTTTAGTCCTGGTTTAGTCCTGGTTTAGACTTGGTTTAGTCCTGGTTTAGTCCTGATTTAGATTTGGTTTAGTCCTGGTTTAGACCTGGTTTAGTCCTGGTTTAGATTTGGTTTAGACCTGGTTTAGTCCTGGTTTAGACTTGGTTTAGTCCTGGTTTAGACCTGTTTTAGGCCTGGTTTAGTCCAGGTTTAGTCCAGGTTTAGACCTGGTTCAGTCCTGGTTTAGTTTAGACCTGGTTTAATCCAGTCCTGGTTTAGATCTGGCTTAGTCCTGGTTTAGACCCGGTTTACACCCGGTTTAGACCCGGTTTAGATCCGGTTTAGACCTGGTTTAGATCCTTTTTAGATTCGGTTTAGATCCGGTTTAGACCCGTTTAGATCTGGTTTAGACCCGGTTTAGACCCGGTCTAGATTCAGTTTAGGTTTAGACCTGGTTTAGTCCTGGTTTAGTCCTGGTTTAGTCCTGGTCAGATTTACTCTCACAAACAGAACCCAGAGGAAGTCGTCATCAGTGTTTCCAAACTTCCTCCTGGTTTGTTTTATTTTATTATTTTTATATTATTTAATTTTATTTCGCAGTAACTTCATTGGTCAGTGGGAAACAGGAGCGAGCTCTGATTGGCCGAGACCCGGGAGCAGAACCTGTCGTTAAACCCGTCCGACCTGCGCTTCCCCTTAAAAATCTTTCACGTTTTGACATAATTACAAATCTTTTATTATCTAAGACGTGTTCAGAGTCAGGAGAGACGATCTTTAAACACGTCGCTGTCGGGGTTCGGGACCACAGAAAGTTTGAGAGCCACTGTTTTTTGGAGAATTAACTAAAAAAAGAGAGTTCTGTTTTGGCAGTTAATACTTCCCGCTCTGTAAAATAATCTGTGTATCATTCGTTCATTCGTTTTTCAATATAAAACCAAAAATAAGAAAACGAAAAAACAACAATTTTCTTCATTATTTGTCTCCAAAACCAAAATGAAAAAACTGATAACAACTGTTTCCCGTTTACGTGACTCTCGTGACTGCGATGCCGGACTTTTGCGCTGCATACGGACTGAACCAGGACTGATAATAATAATACTTATATAAAAATGTTAGTGATTAATCAAAAATCTATCGTTAATTCTCCCGATGACTAATAAAATTTCATCGAATGCCCATCCCTAGTAAATACAGTTCATTTTATAAGTTGAATCAGTTGAATTGGGCCTATTCAGTTTAGTCTGTGGCCTTCACCGTGGCGTCTTTTTCTTTTTTCACATTTGAGTCTGTATCAGTGATTCATTCGGAGATGGGGACCCTGAATATTGATGGGTTTTTCTCACACTGGAACAGAACATTTTGAGTTTTGGAAATGCAGACAGAATAATAATAAAGATTTACTCAAACTCCAGCTCTGATTTCGACGAGGGACGTACATTAAAACACGACTTAAACCTCACGAGAATGATCCGACGAAGGTTTTTTCCCCGAAACGTAATTTAAAAATGAAGTTATATTCGCACCTGTAGAGAAACGTTGGCGTGCGTTTTCTGTTTCGTTCGATTAAAGCTCACGTTAAAGTCACTTTTGCGTAAGATTATAGGAACTTTTAACAGACCACTTCACTTCTTCTTTGGCACATACACTACGAAGTCGAGCATTTTATTTATAAGAGTGAGATTCTGGTTTGTAAGTTTGTGTTTATGAACATGACATGAACATTTTCTGCACGAATGTCGCTTACAACTGTGAAAAATGACGTGTTGAAGCTTTAGTCGGGTAACCAATCATCGAAATAATTTATCTTTTACTTAATTTATGCCTTAAATGTTGTTTTTTTTAAATGTATATCTATGAAGGAAATCTATGTGGTAATAAAACTGAAGTGAAATCAAAATGTGTAATGGTTTGTTTTTGGTTGATCTTCCCTCCCGCCTGCTCCTGCGTCGTGTGGTCTCGCTCCCACTTGCTGTTTTGCGTCGGGTTGCAGGTTTCTACCTTCGACAAAAACTTTGATGCACAAGATACGAACAAAAAGATAAAAGGTAATAATAAATTCTTAATAAGTAGCAAAAAAAGACGCGTGTCAAATAAAACGCGATTATATAAATGTAAATGTACAAGTCAAAATAAAATAGAAAAATAAATAAAATATAAAATCACAGTTTGCTCGAGGTTCATGGGAGTTTGTCCAACCAGTCCACATGTGCTTTGTGGATCTGGAGAAGGCGTTCGACCGTGTCCCTCGTGGTGTCCTGTGGGGGGCGCTCTGGGAGTCTGGGGTCTGGTCCCTGTACGACCGGAGCAGGAGATGTGTTCTCTGCTGCAGTAAGTCAGACCTGTTCCTGGTGCATGTTGGACTCCGCCAGGGCCGCCCCTGTCACCGGTTCTGTTCATTGTGTTTATGGACAGAGTTTCTTGGCGCAGTCAGGGGTCGGAGGGTTCGGTTTGGGGACCACAGGATCTCATCTCTGCTGTTTGTAGATGATGTTGTCCTGTTGGCTTCATCAAACCAGGACCTGCAGCACTGGGGCGGTTTGACCCGAGTGTGAAGCTGCTGGGATGAAGATCGGCTCTTTCAAGTCCGAGGTCGTGGTTCTCGACCGGAAAAAGGCGTCTTGTCGTCTCCGGGGGGTGGAGAGTCTTTGCCTCAAGTGGAGGAGTTCAAGTATCTCGGGGTCTTGTTCTCGAGTGAGGGGAGGACGGAGCGTGAGATTGACAGGTGGACAGGTGCAGCGTGGGCAGTGATGCGGTCGCTGTATCGGACCGTTGTGGTGAAGAGGAGCTGAGTCGAAAGGCGAAGCTCTCGATTTACTGTCAGTCAATGTTCCTCCCCTCACCTCTGGTCATGAGCTCTGGGTCATGACCGAAAGGACGAGATTGTGGATACAAGAGCTCGAAATGAGTTTCCTCCGCAGGGTGTCTGGGTGCTCACTTAGAGATAGAGTGAGGAGCTCGGAGTAGAGCCGCTGCTCCTCCACGTCAAGAGGAGCCAGTTGAGGCTCCGGCATCTGTTCTGATGTCTCCTGGACGTCTCCCTCAGGAGGTGTTCATGTTCCACCAGGAGGAGGCCCCAGGGAAGACCCAGGACACTGGAGGGACTATGTCTCTGGGCTGACCTGGGAACACCTCGGGGTCCCACTGGAGGAGCTGGAGGAAGTGTCTGGGGTGAAGGAAGTCTGGGAGTCCCTGCTTAGACTGATGCCCCCGCGACCCGGCCCCGGATAAGCGGACGAAAATGGATGGATGGAAAATCACAGTTTTATACAAGAGGTCACAGGAAAACAGTTGATTGTTATTGTGTAGTTGTAGGGAGTATTATCTGTCCCTCACTGTGACAAATGCTGCCCCCGAGTGTTTAAGGTAAGTAATCTCTTAATTGTAGATTCTTGACAATTGTTTATTTTTCGATGTTCTTCCGTTCTTGAGTTCAGATGTTTGATCTGTAGACGTAGAGCTGTGATTGGCAGGTCCATGGTCAAGATTTCTCAGAGTTTCTATTGTAAAATTTTAATACATTTTAAATTCTTTGTTTATATTTTGGTTTATCTTGATTTCAGATCAGTTGGAGACGAGCTGTAGCAAAGATCTCTGCACCAAAGGTAAAATGTTTGTACTTATTTATTTATTTATTATTTATCAGTGAACATGTATAAATGCATTAATGTTACAAAAGTAAAAGAATATTTGTACCAGATTTAACTTCTGCTACTTTCCCTGAGCACATTATATAAACACATTAGAAAAATAAACACATTATAAAAATAAACACATTACATTTACAAAATATAAAACTTAATTCAACTTTAACATTAACAGAAAATACAATAAAACGTCACAATTTCCAATATATTTTTTCTTAAAGCACATACAATTTCTCGTGAATTTTTACTAAAAGACCTGGTTTAGTTCTGGTTTAGTCCCAATTTAGTCCTGGTTTAGTCCTGATTTAGTCCCGATTTAGTTCAGTTTTAGTTCTGGTTTAGACCCGGTTTAGTCCTGATTTAATCCTGGTGTTAGTCCTGATTTAGTCCCAGTTTAGTTTGGTTTAGGTCTGGTTTAGACCCGGTTTAGTCCAGGTTTAGTCCTGTTTAGTCCTGGTTTAGTTTCTGATTTAGTCCTGGTTTAGTTCTGGTTTAGTCCTGGTTTAGTTCTGGTTTAGTCCTGGTTTAGTTCTGGTTTAGTCCTGGTTTAATCCTGGTGTAGTCCTGGTTTAGTCCCAATTTAGTCCAGGTTTAGTCCTGGTTTAGTTCTGGTTTAGTCCTGGTTTAATTCTGGTTTAGTCCTGTGTTAGTCCTGGTTTAGTTCTGGTTTAGTCCTGGTTTAGTTCTGGTTTAGTCCTGGTTTAGTCCTGGGTTAGTTCTGGTTTAGTCCTGGTTTAATCCTGGTGTAGTCCTGGTTTAGTCCCAATTTAGTTCTGGTTTAGTCCTGGTTCGGTCTCCCTGAAGATAGAAACTTGTAAATCTTATAAATTAAATCCCTTATAACTGCAGGCGTCGTTGAGCTTCGTTTGACTGGAGCACTTCTAGTTACGGTTATATATATAAATATCTACAAACATGTCGTTAAAACCGCAGTAAAAGTTTTGGGTAAACGTCGCAGAACGATCCAGACTTCAGTAATCGGACACGTTGACCGGGGTGATGACGAGCGGGGCTTCGTTTTTCCCGTTTTTACTCGTGCACGGGCTGAAAAACGGGAAAATACTGTCGCCGAACCAGTCGTTAAACGTGTAGATGAGGGTCTTGGCGTCGACGTTGTAAAAGGAAACCTGAAAAAAAACACAAGGGAATAAGGTTAGGATGGACGATCGGAGAACTTTTATCATGATTACAGAACGGATTTTGAGATACTGAAACTAATTTAAGCCACAGAAAGCAGAATTATCCAAAATAAACTCTTCTAAATGTCAAATATTGTGAAAAATAAAACACAAAATGCAAGAAATGAACAGCAGAAAACACAGAAATTAGAGTTCTAATGTTGTTCCCTCCTCAAAAACAGACCTGACACGTTTGACTAAACCAAAGCGTCAAAAAACTCCTTGACGTCTCTATTTGGACGTCTTTGCATTTGAGTTTAGACGCCCCCGACGCTCGTCTTTGACCCCGTGGACGAACGGGACAAAAATACTTGACGTGCGTCCGTTGCCCTGGAAACAAGAGCCCGGTCCTGGTCTTTTCCTGAAACAATGTCAGACTGAGAGACTTGATGAGTGTTTTTATGACATAAAACATCAGCGGAGGAAATCGACTCGACGACTGGAGCGAGTTTATATTTATACTCCACTAATGACACTGGATCAGACCTGGTTTAGTCCCAGTCTAGTCCGGTCTAGTCCCGGTCTAAACCAGGACTAAAACCAGGACTAAAACCAGGACTAAACCAGGACTAAACCAGGTCTAAAACAGGACTAAAACAGGACTCTCTAAAACAGGACTAAACCAGGACTAAACCAGGACTAAAAACCAGGACTAAACCAGGACTAAACCAGGACTAAAACAGGACTAAAACAGGACTAAACCAGGACTAAAACAGGTCTAAAAACAGGACTAAAAACAGGACTAAAACAGGACTAAACCAGGACTAACCAACCAGGACTAAACCAGGACTGAACCAGGACTAAACCAGGTCTAAAACAGGACTGGACCAGGACTAAAACAAACAGGACTAAACCAGGACTAAAACCAGGACTAAAACAGGACTAAACCAGGTCTAAAACAGGACTAAACCAGGACTAAACCAGGACTAAACCAGGACTAAACCAGGACTGAACCAGGACTAAACCAGGACTAAACCAGGACTAAAACAGGACTAAAACAGGACTAAAACAGGACTAAACCAGGACTAAACCAGGACTAAAACAGGACTAAAACCAGGACTAAACCAGGACTAAACCAGGACTAAACCAGGACTGAACCAGGACTGAATCAGGACTAAACCAGGTCTAAAACAGGACTGGACCAGGATTGTTTCTATGGATACGTCAGTTCTCTGCCTGGAATGTTCCGGAGTGTGACATTAAACAGCTCGACTTTACATCTCCATGGAGATTTTGTTGCTTCGTCTGGAATGTTCCACAGTATGGCATTAAACCTTTTTATCTCCACGGAAACCAAATCGGACCAAGTTACAAGCCAGATCTGTGTCAGAATGTCTGTTTTTCGAGATATTTTTGAGCTATAAAACCTGCACCTGTAACTGAATAAATGTAAAGTGGAGCTGTTTAAAGTCACACTGCGAAACATTCCAAGTAGAGCAATGACGTATCCGTAGAAACGAGCAGGCGACGGACCCCCAACCCCAACCGGAAAGTTACACGGCGCAGCTTTAAAATGATCTCTTCTGCATTTATTCAATTGTTTTTGTTCTAACGCTGTCACGCGCTCGTCATTCGCGAGGGCAAACGGGCTCGCCTCTTCGCAGATCCGACCTGTAACTCGCTCTGGCTCGGTCTCCTTGAAGAGAGAAAGGTTTAATGCCACACTGAGGGACATTCCGGACCAAGCGACGACACCTCAGACCCTAAACTAACCCTTTTAAATAACGAAAAGAAACATGTGAAAGTGTAAGAGGTCTGTATGAATGAAAGAACCGCGTTTCCCATGATGCACCTGTCCGTTTTCGTAGTCCACAAAGATGCCGATTTTGTTTGGATGAAGCGGCAGGTTTACGTCCGTGGAGGGCTGGGTTCGGAACGTGCAGCTCTTTCTGGAAAAAGAAACGAAATATATATATGTAAAACAACTTTGCGTAACGTAAAAACTTTAAAATATCTTCCGAAACTCGTTATAAAAACTTTAAAACTCTAAAAAATGAAGAGTAAATAAAGACGGTTCCTCACTGGTCTCGGAGGCTCAGGAACCAGTATCCGTTGGCGGGCGTCACCTCCAGTTTGCCTTTTCTGTTTATGGTCCGTTTGGCCACGCCCAGATCCCAGTCCGTCTTACCCCCGACCTCCACCTGAAACAAGAACCAGGACTGAACCAGGACTGAACCAGGACTGAACCAGAGCAAAAACCAGGACTAAAACAGGACTGGACCAGAACTGAACAAGGAGTGAACCAGAACTAAACCAGGACTGGACCAGGTCTAAACCAGGGCTAAACCAGGTCATAAACAAGTCTAAACCAGGACTGGACCAGGACTGAACCAGGACTAAAACTGTACTGGAAACAGGACTAAAACAGGACTGAATCAGAGCAAAAAACAGGGCTGGACCAGGACTAAACCAGGACTAAACCAGGACTAAAACAGGACTAAACCAGGACTAAAACCAGGACTAAAACAGGACTAAAACAGGTCTAAAACAGGACTGAACCAAGTCTGGATCAGGTCTAAAACTGTACTGGAACAGGACTAAAATACGGCTAAATTAGGACTGGACCAGGACTGGACCAGGACTGGATCAGGACTAAGCCAGGACTTAATCTGGACTGGACCAGGTCTAAATCAGGACCAAACCAGAACTGAACCAACCTCCAGTCCTGGTCCAGTCCTGGTCCAGTCCCGGCTTAGTCCTGGTCCAGTCCTGGTCCAGTCCTATTTTAGTCCTAATTTAGCCGTATTTTAGTCCTGTTCTAGTACAGTTTTAGACCTGATCCAGACTTGGTTCAGTCTTGTTTTAGTCCTGTTTTAGTCCTGTTTTAGTCCTGTTTTAGTCCTGGTTTAGTCCTTTATAAACTTTATAGTTTTTTTTTTTTTTTTTTTTTGAATAATTATGATTTCAATAATCCGAGATATTATTTTTCCACAGTGAAGCAGCTCTAAATTATTCTTTGGTATTTGCTCCACAAATTTAAGTTCTGCTCAGTCCTGGTCCAATTTCAGTCTTGGTTCTGAAAAATGAAATACAAAAAAATACTGCAATCTATAAAAACAAAAAAGTTTTTCTGTTCCTCAAAACCTCAAACAAACCATTTTTCTGCAAACATCAAAAATACCAATAAAACAGAGCAGATCTGTATTTTCTCTTTGGGTTGGATTTAAAATAATTATGATTTTAATTGTGATCTTAAATAATCAAGGTTTTATTTTTCATCGTAATCTCTCAGTCGTACCTCCCAGTAATGTCGCCCGGACGAGATTTCCTGTTGTCCCAAAACACACACGACTCGGTCAAACCTCTCGGGATTATCAGGCAACATCTGAGGACGATCTCCGTACCTCACCTGGAAAAAACACACAAAAACAAAACAAAACAATGATATTAATGACGAGAAAAATGATCATGAAAACTGATTTTGCGTTACGAGCTCTCTTAAAATCGCTGTACGTGATTTTTTTTTATTTTTTTTCCTGTCTAAAAACGGGAAAAACAGAGCTGGTTCTTTTTTTTTTTTTTTTTTAACTTTTTTTTTTTTTTTTTTCAAAGGAACATAACAACTTTCCCTGAGACAAGAGTATAAGATATTACTTATACAAATGCACTGTACAACCAGTAAGTGTGTGGTACATATTATAATGATAAAAAAAAAAAAAAAAAAAAAAAGAAAGAAAAGAAAAAGTTAATCATAATAGCCCAAATAATAAAATAAATAAATAAATAAAATAAATTGAGATTATATTTAGAATTAAATAAATACAATACGTACATAAAAAATAATAAAATAAATAAATAAAAAAAATACATACATACATACACTTATACATATATGCATACAAACACATACACACTTTAAGGGAAAATAAGAAAATGAAACATATTAAAACATAATAATAATAATAATAATAATAATAACAGTAATACTAACCGTAACAATAATAGTAATAACTATAATAATAATTTTTTTTTTAAAAGAAGAAAAAAAAAAAAAGGGTGTCTATAAAATCACACTCCCAAGTAAGTTTTCACTGAGCTGTTTTTTTTTTTAAACCGTTTGCAGTGGTCCAGAGTTCTTCCTCACTTCCCTTCTGCATTCAGAGCGTTTTAATTATTCACCACGATGAGTTTGTAAGAGCGTTTCTCAACTTTCAGAGACCAGATCGGAGTTTTGCCGTCACTAATCGAACAACAACTAGCATGCTAACACACAAAGGTCAGATTTTGTAGGAGTCTTTTCTATTTTGAATGAATGAATGAATGAATATTTATTCGGACAGTAATACATAGAACATAAATAAAAAAAAAAAAACAGGATAAACAGGACTAAACCAAAAACAGGACTAAACAGGACTCAACCAGGTAAAACAGGACAGGACTAAAACAGGACTAAACACTAAAACAGGTCTAAAACAACTAAACAGGACTAAAACAGGACTAAAAGGACTAAAACCAAAAACAGGACTAAAACAGGACTAAACAGGACTAAACAGGACTAAACCAGGACTAAAACAGGACTAAAACCAGGACTAAAACAGGACTAAAACCAGGTCTAAAACAGGACTAAAACAGGTCTAGGACTAAACAGGACTAAACGAGGACTAAACAGGACTAAAACAGGACTAAAACAGGACTAAAACAGGACTAAAACAGGACTCAACCAGGTCTAAAACAGGACTAAAACAGGTCTAAAACAAGGACTAAAACAGGACTAAACCAGGACTAAACAGACTAAACCAGGACTAAAACAGGACTAAACCAGGACTAAAACAGGACTAAACCAGGACTAAACCAGGTCTGAAACAGGACTAAAACAGGAAAACCAGGACTAAACAGGACTGGAAACAGGACTAAAACAGGACTAAAACCAAAACAGGACCAGGACTAAACAGGACTAACAGGACTAAAACAGGGACTAAACAGGACTAAACAGGACTAAAACAGGACTGGAAACCAGGACTAAAACAGGACTAAACCAAAACAGGAAAACAGGACTAAAACAGGACTAAAACAGGACTAAAACTAAACCAGGACTAAAACAGGACTAAAACCAGGACTAAAACAGGACTAACCAGGACTAGGACTAAAACAGGACTAAACAGGACCAGGACTAAAACAGGACTAAACCAGGACTAAAACAGGACTGAACCAGGACTAAACAGGACTGGACAGGATAAAACAACCAGGACTAACAGACTAAACAGGACTAAAACAGGACTAAACCAGGACTAAAACAGGACTAAACCAGGACTTAAAAAGGACTAAACAGGACTAAAACAGGACTAAACAGGACTAAACCAGGTCTGAAACAGGACTGGACCAGGACTAAAACAGGATTGAACCAGGACTAAACCAGGACTAAACAGGACTAAAACAGGACTGGACCAGGCCTAAACCAGGACTGGACCAGGATTGTTTCTATGGATACGTCAGTTCTCTGCCTGGAATGTTCCGGAGTGTGACATTAAACAGCTCGACTTTACATCTCCATGGAGATTTTGTTGCTTCGTCTGGAATGTTCCACAGTATGGCATTAAACCTTTTTATCTCCACGGAAACCAAATCGGACCAAGTTACAAGCCAGATCTGTGTCAGAATGTCTTTTCGAGGTATAACCCTAACCCTAATCGAACAACAACTAGCATGCTAACACACAAAGGTCAGATTTTGTAGGAGTCTTTTCTATTTTAAATGAATGAATGAATGAATATTTATTCGGACAGTAATACATAGAACATAAATAAAAAATTAAAAAAACGTAAATACATAGATATAACACAAAAAGTAACTATTTCTATTCTATAATAACAGGCAAAATAAATGTTACGCAGAATTTTCCTTGTGTCCGAAAAAGGAGTGGGAGGAAGTAAATACTTATTTAACCCCACCCCTTTTTTCTACCGTCCCAATTTAACAAAGAACACATACAGCATTTTCAGCATTTTGAGCACAGAGCTATAATAAAATGTGAAGGTGAACCCAAGATGTTGTTGTTTTGTTTTCAGGGGTCGGTGCTCATTGGCTCTTGGGCCTAAAAAAATAATTTTCTCTTCCACATTCACTTCCTGAATCCAGAGCGGTGAGGCTCAGTCTGACGAAGATCACCTCTGGACATTTACTGAATAAAGCATTTCAGTAAAACAATCAAAGTTGACGTGGTGATTTAAATATGTGATGTGTTACAGTTAAAACTCCACAGAAGTGAAGCACCTCCTGTTAGGGATGGGCATGATTAGTCGATTAATCGATAATTGATCATTAAGAATTTCATCGATTACGTTCATTTTAATTGACAAACTGAATGTAGGTTGTGTGTCGTGACCAAACAGGTGTGTACATGTGTCTCTGCATCAGAAGGAGCGAGACACAAACAGTGGGTCAGTCTGTAACGAACCGAAGCACAAATGTGGATTTAACCAGGATTTGTAGAAGAAATTCCACACTTTCCGTTGCGTTGGGACAAGTGTGAGTCCATGTGCACAGTGGATAAAGCAGCACATATGTTTCTGTGTCCAGTGGGAAAAAGTTTTTCCAGGTGAGAGTCGCTCAATGTGGATGACGAGGCCCCGCCCCCCTCCCCCCGTACGCTGTCCTGGTTTTGACAAACACAAATCTGGTCACACTGACCTGTATTCACCTGAGTCATGTCTTTTAATCCAACACAAGTTGAACCACATCAGCGACACAAGAGCTGGAGTTTTATCTTCACTTAGTTTATGTAAATTAGTGATGTGGTTTTAAGTTTTGTTTCTGTGAGATTTGAACAAAACTGAATTAAACACATTATAATGTCAAACAGCTGATGTGGATCTAGAGTCGTTATGTTTATATGTCGTAAAGTTGAATTTATTTATGCAGATTAGTGCAGATAGTAATAATAATGATGATCATTTTAATATAAAAACATTAAAGGTTGTATAGAAGATTTTCCAAGGAAAGAGAAATGCAGCGACTGTTTGTCCTTTTTCAAATGTTGTGCTTTGCTGCTTTTCCCCTTCTCCTCTTGTTTCCGCGACGTCAAAAACGGACTTACATTCTCGATGAACTGGTCGTGAATTCTTGTCCGCCGTTACAACAAACTTTGTGCAAACTGAGAGGAAGCTACACTTCGAAAAAGACCCCAAGAACCGCTGTATTGGTCGAGTGAATGTCATCAGTGCGTGAGAGGCGAACGTAAACCTCTTAATCCCAGCGCGCCGGCGAGTCAGTGACGCTAGAAACGTAGGGAGTTTGATTAACAACCTAACAGCCAATAGAAAATGAGGTAGCCTTGTTTTCTAGTGGCTGATGTTTATCTGGCCTCAACACGTCCACAGTTGATGGATTTTCATTCTTTTTTTTGGTCATCATAATTACAAGGCTGCTGCATCGCTCTAATGGTATTTTAAACTTTCACTGACAATTTGAAACAAATAAAAAAAATCCTCCATACAACCTTTAATGATTAATCGATAATCGATCGTTAATTCTTCCGACGATCGATTAAGAAAATTTCATCGAATGCCCGTCCCTACCTCCTGTTGAACATATGAACACACAGTAGTTGTAATGTTGTAAATGTTTCACTCACGCTCTTTAAGTCTTCAGACAGAACGAGGCGAGGATGTGCCGTGCTCACGTCCAGAGTGACGTCCACTGTGACAAAACAAAACAAAGTACACTTCAGTTTTGTGTTTTTCTGCCTGACAAACAGAACAACAGTGTGACCACATGTGGCCACACTGGTTTGTCAAAGTCCAGTCTCATCAGATCTCAGAAGTTCAACAGGGGCCGGTCAAACCTCTGGGAAAATCAGGTGCCACAAGGGGGCGCCAGTCGCAAAAACTGCTGTTGTGTCCTTATGGTCCGTTTAGACCGGAGCGTCAAAAAACACGCTGGACACCCTCTAGTTGGACGCCTTTGGATTTGAGTTTAGATGAACTCAGCACACGTCTTGGACAAATGTTGCTCTGAAATAAGTGTCATTTCCCGTTTTTTCCCGGAACAATGACAGATCAGACTGAGAGACTTTAGTGTTTTTAGTACAGAAAACATCAGTGGAGGCGACTGGCTCGACAACTGCGGCCTGTTTATATTTATATTCCACTAATGACACTGGTTTAGTCCTGGTTTAGTCCTGGTTTAGTCCTGGTTTCAGTCCTGGTTTAGACCTGGTTTAGACCTGGTTTAGACCTGGTTTAGACCTGGTTTCAGTCCTGGTTTCAGTCCTGGTTTAGACCTGGTTTAGACCTGGTTCAGTCCTGGTTTAGACCTGGTTTAGACCTGGTTTCCTGGTTTAGACCTGGTTTCCCAGTCCTGGTTAGACCTGGTTTAGACCTGGTTCAGTCCTGGTTTAGACCTGGTTTAGACCTGGTTTTAGACCTGGTTTTACCTGGTTTAGTCCTGGTTTAGTCCTGGTTTAGACCTGGTTTAGTCCTGGTTTAGTCCTGGTTCAGTCCTTGGTTTAGACCTGGTTTAGACCTGGTTTAGTCCTGGTTTAGACCTGGTTCAGTCCTGGTTTACTGGTTTCCTGGTTCAGTCCTGGTTTAGTCCTGGTTCAGTCCTGGTTTAGACCTGGTTTCAGTTTCCTGGTTTAGTCCTGGTTCAGTCCTGGTTCAGTCCTGGTTCAGTCCTGGTTTAGACCTGGTTTAGACCTGGTTCAGTCCTGGTTCAGTCCTGGTTTAGACCTGGTTTAGACCTGGTTTAGACCTGGTTTAGTCCTGGTTTAGTCCTGGCGATCGGTTTGGCAGTTGTTTTGTGTTTATATTTTTACTCTGTGGAGTTTCTTGTTCTGTTTTTTGTGGTTCTTGGGTCTTTCTCTTTCTTCTGGATAACAGCTTCACTACGTCACTGGATACTCGTCCCTGATTGGTTGACGTGGCGCGTCAGACGCCAAAATTTCAGTATTTTCAACTTCTGATGCGACGCTCAAGACGCGCCGTGTTGACACCAGATTTTTGGATTTAGTGAGTGTTGATTTGTGGTCTTACCTGCGTACTCCTGCACTCCTCTGTCTCCTACAACAACAACAAACACTCATGAGTAAAGAAAGAGTCAAGTGAAACCAGCAGACGTCATTCTGAGCAGACGTGGACTCACTGGGCTGAGTTTGGATCAGACTCGACTCCAGGACCGAGTCCGGAAAACCTAAAAAAGAGAAGAAGGAAGTTTACGGTTGTTATGGTAACCAAGACTGACATCAGACTGACTGTAGCAGGTTAAAGGTCCATATGACACTGTTCTAATGTTGTTTCCTCATCATAAACACACCTGTCACACCTGTCACACCTGTCTCACCTGTCTCACCTGTCACACCCCGCCTCACCTGTCACACCTGTCACCTGTTTCACCTGTCACACCCGTCACATGTTCACCCACCTCACCTGTCACACACCTGCCTCACCTGCCTCACCTGTCTCACCTGCCTCACCTGTCTCACCTGTCACACCTGTCTCACCTGTCACACCTGTCACACCTGTCACACCCGCCTCACCTGTCTCACCCGCCTCACCGTCACACCTGTCTCACCTGTCTCACCTGCCTCACCTGCCTCACCCGCCTCACCTGTCACACCTGTCTCACCCTGTCACACCTGCCTCACCTGTCCTCACCCTGTCTCACCTGCCTCACCTGTCTCACCCGCCTCACCCGTCTCACCTGTCACACCTGTCTCACTCTCACACCTGCCTCACCTGTCACCTGTCTCACCTGCCTCACCTGTCACACCTGTCTCACCCTCACACCTGTCACCTGTCTCCCGCCTCACCCTCACCCGTCACACCCGTCTCACCTGTCTCACCGCCTCACCTGTCACACCCGCCTCACCTGTCACACCTGTCTCACCTGTCACACCTGTCACCTGTCACACCTGTCTCACCTGTCACCTGTCTCACCTGTCTCACCTGTCACACCTGTCACACCTGTCTCACCTCACACCTGTCACACCCGCCTCACCTGTCACACCGCCTCACCTGTCTCACCTGCCTCATCCCTCTCACCTGCACACCGCCTCACCTGCCTCACCCGTCTCACCTGTCACACCGCCTCACCTGTCACACCCGCCTCACCTGTCTCACCGCCTCACCCTGTCTCACCTGTCACACACCGTCGTCACCTGTCTCACCTGTCTCACCCGCCTCACCTGTTCACACCTGTCTCACTCACCCCCTTCACCTGTCACACCTGTCTCACCCGCCTCACCTGTCTCACCCGTCACACCTGTCACACCTGTCTCACCTCCACACCTGCCTCACCTGTCACACCTGTCTCACCTGCCTCACCTGTCTCACCTGTCTCACCCGTCACACCTGCCTCACCTGTCTCACCTGCCTCACCTGTCTCACCCTGTCACACCTGCCTCACACCTGTCTCACCTGCCTCACCTGTCACACCTGTCTCACCTGCCTCACCTGCCTCACCTGTCACCTCACCCGCCTCACCTGTCACACCCGCCTCACCTGTCACACCTGCCTCACCCGTCTCACCTGTCACACCCGCCTCACCTGTCACACCCCTCACCTCACACCCGCCTCACCTGTCACACCTGTCTCACCTGCCTCACCTGTCTCACCTGTCACACCCTGCCTCACCTGTCACACCCGCCTCACCTGTCTCACCCTCTCACCTGTCTCACCTGTCTCACCTGTCTCACCTGCGTCTCACCTGTCACACCTGTCTCACCTGTCTCACCTGTCTCACCTGTCACACCTGTCTCACCTGTCTCACCTGCCTCACCTGTCACACCTGTCTCACCTGTCTCACCTGCCTCACCTGTCTCACCTGTCTCACCTGTCTCACCTGTCTCACCTGTCACACCTGTCTCACCCGCCTCACCTGTCTCACCTGTCACACCTGTCTCACCTGTCTCACCTGTCTCACCTGTCTCACCTGTCTCACCTGTCTCTGCGACCGTCTGAAGTTCGTCCTGAAACTTCTGCAGCTGAAGCGACAGGGACCTGTAGACGGCCTCCGCCCCCAGGTCGACGGTCACGCACGGCCGGGTCCAATCAGAGGCCAGGGGAGGGGCCCACAGAGAGGGAAGCGTCTGGGGAGAGGGGGAAGAGACCAGTAAGTCGGGGGTGTCGTACATGTGTGTCTATGACGGAAAGTTCAGCAGTCACCGGATCCATCAGTGTGGAAATCTCTGAATCAGAACTCTCTATTTTCTGAAAATTTTCAACATATTTTTCAACTTTTCATCACAAATCGCTTCTTAATTTGTGTAAAACTATAATTTATATTTAAAACAGGTTTTATTCTGCCAAGTTAAGTAAAAAAATCTAACTACAAATTAATCAAAACGTGGTGTAGTTGTTACTTTACTTTTAGAGAGTCTGTGAAACGCTTTTCTCCATGGAGATTTATAGTTGTTGCCTTGTCTGGAATGTTCCACTGTATGGCATTAAACCTTTCTATCTTCATGGAGACCAAACCAGACTAAGTTACAGATCAGATCTGTGGCGAGGCGACCCCGCACACAGTCAGAATGTCTGTTTTTCTAGGTATTTTTGAGCTCTAAAACCATCTGTAATTGCATAAATGTAAAGTCCAGCTGGTTAAAGTCACACTGTGGAACATTCCAGGCAGAGCAATGATGTCGCCATAGCAACAAGCAGGTGACAGACCCCCAACCAAAAAGTTACACAGTGCAAGCTTTAACTGGTTTCCCTCTACAGCCCCCGCGGCACCTTGAGTCCTTCGATGTGGTCCTCGGTCCGGCTCAGGTCCCGGATCTGGGTGTGTCTGGTCCGGAGCTGGTCCAGTTCCAGCTGGATCTGGCGCGTGGAGGTTTCGGCCTGGAGTTCTGCGGCGCGGCGCTTCGTCTCCAGAGTCTCCAGGAGGTCGGACTGAGCGCGCTCCACGGACGAGACCAGAGCCGAGAAGAAAGACAAGCTCCCGGCCGTTTGACGCTGGACGGAGACCTGAGAGGGACACGAGACAAAGGCGAGTTTTATCTGAGATCTCAAACTCAAACCCTCAGACCAACTGCTTTAACAACTCTGGAGTGACTCTACAATTGTACTTACAAAATAAACAGTGTTGTGAAGGTGACTTTTAAAATGTAATCCCCTACAGATTACAGATTACACACCCCAAAATGTAGTTTGTAACGTAATCCATTAAATTACTTAAAGGTTGTATAGAGGATTTTCCAAGGAACGAGAAATCCAGCGACTGTTTGTCCTTTTTCAAATGTTGCTCCTGCGTGAAACCCCCTCCCCTCCCCTACAGCTCCTACGTAGAAACGCCTCCTCCCTCCTCCTCCTTACGCCACAAAACAGGTTTGTTTACAGCCGTGCTGCACATGACTTGTAAACAACTAACTACAGTGTTGGTTAGACAAGACGGAGAAGTGAGGAGCGGGGGGAGGGGCGCGGACATTTTGTGCCCGGAGAAGTGAGGAGCAGGGAGAAGAGTGGATGGGCAGCGGGGACAGGAGCAGGAAAGGGGAGCAGAGAAGGTTGCGCGGAGATTCCGTGCGAATGAACTAGCTACAACACGCAGCAGCAAGCGGACTCTTTCTTTGCCTTGAAAATGACGTTTTCAGACATAGGATATCGCTTTCGTGTCCTGAAAAACGTTTGTCTAAGCTCTTGGAAATAAAGTACGTTTTCATAATAAGCAGAAGTTTCCTGTCCAGGAGTAATTTGTGGACCAGTGCGTCAGTCTTTAGACCCTTCGTCTGCTTCAGTCGCGCCATCGCTGGAATGAATCTACAAGAATCACCTTAGTTTGGCTTCGCTGCTTTTCCTCTTGTCTTCTTCTTTCAGCGACCTCAAAAAACGGACTTTCTTTTGCGGCGAACTGCTCCTGGATTCTTGTCGCCATTGCAACAAACTTTGTGCGAACTGTGAGGAAGATATAGGTCAAAAAAAGCCGCTAAGAACTGTTGCGTTGGTGGAGTAAACAGCGTCTGTGCGTCTTGCGTCTGTGGACTGCGTGACAGTCGTACGTAAACCACGTACCGGCGGCGCAGGCAAGTCAGTTACACTAGAAACGTAGGGAGTTTGATTGACAGCCTGTCAGCTCACAGATAACGAGGCAGTGTCGTTATCTATTGGCAAATGTTTAGCCCCACCACGTCCAGAGTTGATGAATTTTTATTCTCTTTTTTTTGGTCATCATAATTACAAGGCGACTGCACCTTTATAATCTATCACTGACAATTTGAAACAAAAAAAAATCCTCCATACAACCTTTAAGGTGAGTAATGTAATCTGAATACTTTGGATTATTTGATTTGCTGTAGAGAAACAAAGACGAGGAAATCTTCACATAAAATGTTTTGTCTGATAAAAGAAAATAAAAAGCCCAAACTTTACTGAACTAAATTAAAAATATTATTGATAGAAGAGGAGGAGACACTGTTTTAGTCCTGGTTTAGTCCTGGTTCAGTCCTAATTTAGTCCTGGTTCAGTCCTGGTTTAGTTCTGGTTTAGATCTAGTTTAGACGTGTTTTAGTCCTGGTTTAGTCCTGTTAAATCCTGTTTTAGTCCTGGTTTAGTCCTGTTTAGACCCAGTTTAGACCTAGTTTAGACCTGGTTTAGTCCTGGTTTAGTCCTGGTTTAGTCCTGGTTTAGTCCTGGTTTAGACCTGGTTTAGACCCAGTTTAGACCTGGGTTAGACCTGGTTTAGTCCTGGTTTAGATCTAGTTTAGACCTGGTTTAGTCCTGGTTTAGTGTTTAGACCAGTTTAGACCCGTTTAGACTGGGTCCTGGTTTAGTTTAGTTTGGGTTTAGTCCTTTTAGTCCTGTTAGGTTAGACCTGTTAGTCCGTTAGACCCTGGTTAGACCTGGTTTAGTCCTGGTTTAGATCTAGTTTAGACCTGGTTTAGTCCTGGTTTAGACCCAGTTTAGACCCAGTTTAGACCTGGGTTAGACCTGGTTTAGTCCAGCAATCAAACCAAACATGACTCCAGGTGCGTTTTGAATGACAAGGTTAAACGCTTCAAACGTGATGCATTTCTCAAACTCAGCTAAATAAACTCAAACAGAACCAGTTTTCCGGCTCGCTGACAGCTCGTGTCTTTGGGCTAAACATTCACACGGGTCAGAGCTCAGGCACGACCTCGAAACTTCACATATTTTGGATTTTTTTTTTTTTTTTTTTGAGACAGCCGCACGTGAAGGATCCCGCTGTGATTTATGTCGAGTTGTTTCCTCATCACAAAACAGACCCGGAGTTGTGTTTTGTTTCGGTTCACGCACGTTTAACACTCGAAAACGCTCACTTCATTGTGTTTTTAAACTCCGTACAGCTTCACTAGAATCATTTGAGATCATTTCAACTCTGGAATTGTGAATCTCTACTCAATAAAATGTAAAAATGAAGCTGTTAACTTTAAAAACTAGACTGTAAGTGTCACTTTTTTTCATGGTTTGGGTGTTTCCGGTGTGACTCTACTGCGCATGTCTCCTGCAGAAAGAGCCTCTGTCCTGTCTGTATCACGTCAGTCGATCGCACCGTTACTTCTGCACCACCAGTGTTGGGAAGTTTACTTTTAAAATGTAATCCCCTACAGATTACAGATTACACACCCCAAAATGTAGTTTGTAACGTAATCCATTAAATTACTTAAAGTGAGTAATGTAATCTGAATACTTTGGATTACTTGATTTGCTGTAGAGAAACAAAGACGAGGAAATCTTCGCATAAAATGTTTTATCTGATAAAAAAAAAAAAAAAGCCCAGACTTTACTTAAACATATTAAAAATATTATTGATAGAAGACGAGGAAACACGTCCACACAGCAGGATTTAGACCTGTTAAATCCAGTTTTAGACCTGGTTTAGACCTGGTTTGGACCTGGTTTAGACCTAGTTTTAGTCCTGGTTTAGACCTCGTTTGGACCTAGTTTAGACCTACTTTTAGTCCTGGTTTAGATCTGGTTTTAGTCCTGGTTTAATCCTGGTTTAGACCTGGTTTGGACCTGGTTTAGACCTAGTTTTAGTCCTGGTTTAGACCTCGTTTGGACCTAGTTTAGACCTACTTTTAGTCCTGGTTTAGATCTGGTTTTAGACCTGGTTTAGTCCTGGTTTAGACCTGGTTTTAGACCTGGTTTGGACCTGGTTTAGACCTAGTTTTAGTCCTGGTTTAGACCTCGTTTGGACCTAGTTTAGACCTACTTTTAGTCCTGGTTTAGACCTGGTTTTTGGTTTTAGTCCTGGTTTAGACCTGGTTTTAGTCCTGGTTTAGACCTGGTTTAGTGTCCAGCAAACCTGAAGAACTGTTCATATGTGACGTTAACAGTCTGTTGTTCTCTCTTCTATTGTTTTTACTACAACTTGACTTTACACAGGAAATGTCAGTTTCTACTCGCTGATTTTATAAAACAAATTTCCCCCAAAAAGTGAGACTTATTCTCCGGAGCAACTTGTAGTCCAAAAAACACGGTCATAATAAAGGGAAATAATAATGTGTGAAAGAAACAAGATCTTTTTTTGAGGAGATAACAACATTATAACCTCACAAGCGTTTGTTTTGCGTAATATAAAACCTTTACGATCTTTACAGACAGTTCTAGTTTGTTTATTTCCGTTCGTAGAAAATAAAAATGAATAACTTACCTCCAGTTGGGACATAGATTCTCTGATCTCAGACAGTTTTGTGACGCGCTCCTTGATCATGTCGTCAACCTCTTTCTCCAAAGAACTCAAATACACCTGAAAACACACACAGGTACAGGAATTAAAGTCAAAATGAAACGGTAGAAGCAGCGGTAGAATATTAGAAGTGGTATTAGAGAGAAAGAGGCAGATAGAAAGAACAAAAATGTGGCTGTTTGCTGCAGGTGTTCCAATCAGTAGGAGCAAGTAGAGGTGCTCTTGGAAAAAAAGGATTAAAACTCAAACACAACGGACTCCAGGCAAAGTTAACACATTGCACGAGGAAAAATATAGTTAAAAGGCCTTTATTTGAATGGCCAAAGCCGACATGTTTCGACCTTAACTGGTCTGAATTAAGCCCTGATGAAGACCAGTTAAGGTCGAAACATGTCGGCTTTGGCCATTCAAATAAAGGCCTTTTAACTATATTTTTCCTCGTTGCGATGTGTTAACTTTTTCTTCTGTTTTGGAGCGCCTGGAGTCCGTTGTGTTTGAGAAAGAGGCAGATACTTTATTGATCCTGAGGGAAATTCGAGTTTTGCTGCAGTAACATTTCCACTGTGTGTCTCAGTTCCTTTGTGTCTCAGTCAAAGGTCTCAGTTTAAGGAGGACTGGTCAGGGAGGATCAGGGCAGATCTGTGTCAAAAGTGTCCCTCCTCTGTGTCCTGCGGCATCACAGCAGCCTCCAGGGGGCGCCATTGTCATATCTCTCCACTCTGTGTTGAGCCACGTCCGGATGCTCTTTGTGGATTATCACAGCTCAGTCTTCAGTACAATCATCCCGGACATTTTCATGACCAAACTGGACACTCTTGTGTTCCCACGTCTCAAAGACTTCAAGACTTTTTAACCAAGTTTGCTCAGACCACGAAACTCGACCCTCACCTCTTCCCGCTCCTGTTCTGTCTACACACGCGACTGCAGCCCGACCGGCCACAGTAATGACACAGATAGAAGTAGTAGTATTAGAAGTAGTAGGAATAGTAGTAGTAGTACTTTGGTCTCCTTCCATTGAGTCTCGATGCTGATGACGTCGTGGTCTGGATGATCCTCTTCCTCACACTCAGGACAAATGCACATCTGATCCGTCTGACAATACAACTGCAAACAAACAAACAAACAACAAACAATAAAACAACACAAATAAACAAACAAACAATAAAACAATAAAACAAACACACAAATAAACAAACAAACAATAAAACAAACACACAACCAATCAGCAAAGAAGTAAACAAGCAAACCGTCGATCCGTCTGACAGAAGGACTGACATCGTAACAATCGAACAGTAAAACAGTTTGAATCTGTTTATTTGTTTCATTATCTCAGACAGAAGAGCGCCCCCTGCAGGTACAGACCGTGTCCTGTGTGAACTCAAGACGCACAAACTGAAGCAAAAACCAACCCCAAGGCTTTTTTTTACTGGAAGAGTAATTAGCATTTACTGGAAAATCTGGAAAATCTTCTCTCTTTTATTCCAAATATTTGAACGGACAAACTCTTGTTTAGTGTAGAACAAGTTAGCAGCCACTTTTATGTATGTTTAAGTACGGATTTAATGTGGTGACACCGTGAAATTCTTACTTAGTTAACTTTTACAGCAAGAAGGATTTTTGTGATATTAAGAATCCATCTTGTGCAGAGCCAAAGGCAAAGCGCCCAAACAAACCAAAACAAAAGGAGAAATTCAGTTTGTCAAATGGACAAAAGTTTGTTTTGGGCAGACGCTGGTGGACACTGACTTATATCTGCCTGAAGGAGGAGCTAACTACACTGAAACTACTCTGAAACTAACTTGTTTACAGTTTCTGTTAGTTTGTTAGACCTATTAAACTTGCACTGAGTGTGGGTCATATAAGCAGAATCATTCAGGGCCATAATGAAGCTTTCACTCCTCTGGGTCTGACCTGGACATCACTGTTGTTTTCTCGTTTGTTTTGATTTAGGTTTGAAGATGGAGCTATAAATGCGAGACAGTCTGAGGCTGTTGATTCTACACTCTCCTCTGGTTCTAAACTCTCTCTGGTTCTACACTCCTCTGGTTCTAAACTCTCCTCTGGTTCTGGTTCTAAACACTCCTCTGGTTCTAAACTCTGGTTCTAAACTCTCCTCTGGTTCTCGTCTCTGGTTCTAAACTCTCCTCTGGTTCTCGTCTCTGGTTCTAAACTCTCCTCTGGTTCTCGTCTCTGGTTCTAAACTCTCCTCTGGTTCTCGTTCAGGTTCTAAACTCTCCTCTGGTTCTGGTTCTAAACTCTCCTCTGGTTCTCGTCGCAAGTTCTAAACTCTCCTCTGGTTCTGGTTCTAACCTCTCCTGGTTCTAAACTTTTCTCTGGGTCCAAATTCATCTCTGGTTCTAAACTCTCTGGTTCTAAACTCTCCTCTGGTTCAAAACCCGTCTCAGGTTCTAAACTCTCCTCTGGTTCTGGTTCTAAACACTCCTCTGGTTCTAAACTCTGGTTCTAAACTCTCCTCTGGTTCTCGTCTCTGGTTCTAAACTCTCCTCTGGTTCTGGTTCTAAACTCTCCTCTGGTTCTCGTCGCAAGTTCTAAACTCTCCTCTGGTTCTGGTTCTAACCTCTCCTGGTTCTAAACTTTTCTCTGGGTCCAAATTCATCTCTGGTTCTAAACTCTCTGGTTCTAAACTCTCCTCTGATTCAAAACCCGTCTCAGGTTCTAAACTCTCCTCTGGTTCTGGTTCTAAACTCTCTCCTCTGGTTCTGGTCTCTGGTTCTAAACTCTGTGGTTCTCTGCGGTGGACTCACCATGATGGCGCGGCCGTGGGCGGGGCACAGGGGCAGGTTGTGGACTTCTTCGGCTCCGCTCAGGGTGAAGCGTCTGGGGGCGTGTTTGAAGCGGGGAGGGGGGCGGGGGGGAGGAGAGTCGCTCGCCGGGGACCAGGGGAGGGGGGAGGAGCCGGGCTCAGGGGGGGAGGAGCCATTGGAGAGGGGGGAGGAGCCTCGTCGAGAGGAGGGGGAGGAGCCGCGGTGCGAGGAGGAGGAGCGGGTGGAGGAGGAGGAGGAGGAGCCGCGGCGCTGCTCGTGGGGGATCAGCAGGTTCTCCGTCTCTGGGAGGGAAATGGCCATTCTCTCTGAGGAGCAGGACAAACATCAGTGAACACAAAGGAGCGAGTCATGTTTGACTCTTGAATCTGATTTTCAAGTCGCCATTTTTCCAATCAACCCTCCTTTTCACCACCTCCTGTACACGCCCACTGTGACGTACGTGCTTCATTCTTTCCAATTTTATTTTGTTTATTAGTGATACATGTCGGATTTCACAGCGTTGCTTCGTGATTTTGGTACAAATGAAAAAAAAAATTGGGTGACGTTTTACGGTGACGTCAGCTCCCACTGGAAACCACTGTTTTCTAACACAGAAGTCAGCGCACTTGTTTCTTTTATTAAGTCGTTTTAGATCAATATTGTGATTTAAAATGTCACAATTATAACAGAAAGATCCGCAGGTGTCAGAGATTATAACTTTATAGCTCACACAAACACAATGTGTCCTTTAACAGAGCAGTGAAAAAGGACGAGGGAGACTTAAACTGCATTCAGACTGCAGCGTCCACGCGTCCAGTTCACATGTAAAGTCTAAGTGGACGCGCGTCTGGGGTGTCTTGCGTTTTTGCAGCGCGTCTTCAGGTGTCAGAGCGGCGAGAATGTGGCGATGAAGCCTGAAAGCTCAAGACACACGTGCAGGGCGTTGGGGTCAGAAGTTGAGGAAAGTTGAGGTTGAGGGTTCAAGGACGACTATCCAGTGATGTTGTGAAATAATTACCCAGAAGAAGGAGAAGAAAGAGAAAGACCTGAGAACCACACCAGAACAAGAAATTTACGGCGTGTCATTAGCGGAGTATAAATATAAACACACCGCAACCACTGAGCGAAACGCCTCCACTGATGAGTTTATGTAATAAATACACTAAAGTCTCTCTCAACCAGGAAAACAAGGCACTGACAGACTGCAGCGACGCCCTGGGTGCACCACAAGTATTTTTCTCCTGTTCGTCCATGGCGGTAGCAGCCAGCCTGGCGCCACCTAGTGCCTCTACTCAATTTAATTTCTCTCCAGTGACTAGGTCAGGTATTAGAATACACTAGACGGTTTGCAAGAACCCTGGAAGTGCGAGTTCGGGCACCAGCCAATCAGCGAGTAGTCAGATATTCTGTGTTGCCAATGATTCCTGAGATCGAGGATTTAAAGCCAGAACGAAGAGAATGTTTGGTGAATTTTATCAAGGGGAAAGACGTTATTGTTCTTCTTCCTACAGGATTTGAAGCATTGCATACGTCACGACCAAACAGCAGAGATCAGTTAAATAAAAAAGTACCCGCCTACTGTCGAGCGAATAAATTCTAATGCTGCGAGGTCACGCGGTTTCTACAAAGTGAACCCGTCTGATGAATCAGGCTACGGTGTTGGGGCATCTGAAATACAAAAGCGTCCAACTAAAGGCGTCCAGCGTGTTTTTGACGCCGCGATCTGAATGCAGCTTAACAACTTTCAAGGACCAAGGACGCCTCCTAAAAGCCGGACTGCAGACGGCGCTGTTCTCCTACCAATACAGATCGGAGAATAATCTTTGAAAATCTTTGGCTGAAAAGTTCCACAGTGCAGCTTTAAATAAACTAAACTCGTCACCGCTGTGTGTGTGTGTGTGTGTGAGCCTCACCATTGCGCGGTTGGTGGTGGAAGGGCTTGGACAGTTTCTTCTGGATGTGGTTGAGCAGGTTGTTTCGGGGGTGAGATTTTCCTCGTTTTTGCGTCGTCTCCCTCGGCCCGTCGATCCGATCTTCTTTCATGGACTTGAAGTGCTCCGTGATCTCTCTCAGCGTCCGGTTTATCTGCAGGTCTGGTTTCTTGTAGTACGTCTTCTTGCACAAAGGGCACTGGCAAACCTGACGACCAGGACGAGACGTAAACGTGAAGTCAAAATACACTGGGAGTTTGCAAGTTTTATTCAGAGAAACAGACCGAACATTTCCTCTGTAATGTGAAGTTCATGAGGTATTGGAGGAGTCGCAATATAATCACTAAATCCCAAAGATCAGACCGTGACACTTTACAAATGAAGAGAACTGAGCGTCACTGTGTTTATAAAACTCTGTCTGTCAGGGCTAATGCTAATGCTAATGCTACCGCTAATGCTACCGCGAATGCTAACGCTAATGCTAATGTTAATGCTAACGCTAATGTTTACTTCTAATAAATATTGAAATAACGCCAGAGACTGAAATAATCTACACTTAAAATAATCTGGTTGCCTTTACTAGGAATTTAATTTTGTTGTTGTTACATTTAACGTTTTAATAAAAGTTACTGACACAAAAGGTTATTGTTTACATCAAAACTGTGCACTTTTCTACGGAAGCCCATTTCAGTCATTATTACAAGTTTTAAACTCATAGCTAAGAGACTTTAAAACTCGTAATTATGACTTTCTGTGAGACTTTATTTTTTATTTGCTGGTGGAAATGAGTTTCCACACTTTTCAGTTTGATGATGTGAACATAATTTTGTTTTTTTTTTTTATGATAATGATTTCTAAAAGCAGAAGTGTCCTTCAATGAAGTTTTCTCCTAATTTTTTCTGCAGTATTTGGACTTTCATTTCTGACCATGGCTCCTTTTTTTTATTTATATTATTTATTTGTGTATTTTTGCAGTCTAATCTGATCTTGGCTCCTTTTAACTGATATTATTTTTTTGTATTTTTTGGTAGTCTCTATTCTGACCTTGGCCCTATTATATATATATATATATATATATATATATATATATATATATATTGCTCCTTTTCATTTATATCATTTGTGTATTTTTTTTTCCATCTCTGGTCTGATCTTGGCTCCTTTTTACTTACATTCTTTGTATTTGTGCATTTTTTTCCATCTTTGGCTCCTTTTTATTTATATTTATTTGTATTTGTATTTTTTGCAGTCTCTTTCCTGACCTTGGCTCCTTTACATTTATATTTATTTTATTTGTAATAATAATACATTTTTATTTTTTTACAGTCTCTGGTCTGACCTCGACTCTTTTATATTTATTTTGTTACTTATTTGTTTTTTTTTATTATTATTATTATTATTTTTACAGTCTTTGGTTTGACCTTGGCTCTTTTTATTTATTTTATTTATTTATTTATTTTTACAGTCTCCGGTCTGACCTTGGCTCTTTTTTATTTTATTTTATTTATTTATTTATTTTTACAGTCTCCGGTCTGACCTTGGCTCTTTTTTATTTTTATTTATTTTATTTGTATTTGTGTTTTTTTTGTTGGTTTGTTTGTTTTTCTGTATTTTTACAGTCTTTTTCCTGACCTTGACCCCTTTTTATTCATATTATTTATTTATATTTGTGGTTTTTTTGTTTTTTTTTGTTTTTTTTTTTTGCAGTCTCGTTCCTGACCTTGGCTCCTTTTTTATTTATTTAATTTATATTTGTGTGTTTGTTTTTTTTTTACAGTCTCTTTCTTGATCTTGGCTAATTTTTTTTAAAATTTTATTTATATTTGTGTGTGTGTTTTTGCAGTCTTTTTCCTGACCTTTGCTCCTTTATATTTATTTTATTTGTATTTCTTTTTCAGTCTTTTTCCTGACCTTGGCTCCTTTTTAATTTATTTTATTTATATTTGTGTGTTGTTGTTTTTTTCAGTCTTTTTCCTGACCTTGGCTCCTTTATATTTATATTATTTGTATTTATGTGTTTTGTTATTTTTTTGCTGTCTCTTCCCTGACCTTGGCTCATTTTTTATTTATTTTATTTATATTTGTGTGTTTTTGTTTTTGTTTTGCAGTCTTTTTCCTGACCTTGGCTCCTTTTTTATTTATTTTATTTATATTTGTATGGAGTTTTTTTGCAGTCTTTTTCCTGACCTTGGCTCCTTTTTAATTTATTTTATTTATATTTGTGTGTTTTTGTTTTTTTTCAGTTTTTTTCCTGACCTTGGCTCCTTTTTTTATTTTATTTTTTTATTAATATTTGTGTGTTTTTGTTTTTTTTCAGTCTTTTTTCCTGACCTTGGCTCCCTCCCAGTACTTGCTGATGCAGCTCAGACAGAAGCTGTGTCCGCACGGCGTGGAGGCCGGGTTCGTGAACAGGTCCAGGCAGATGGAGCAGAGGAACTCGTCGTCTGTGAGGAACCCGCCGTCCAGAGACATGATCCTGCACAACACAAACGCACACAGGTCAAAGGTCACAGGTCACAGGTCAGAGGATGTTTATTTTGATTTTTATTAAAGACAATAGATTATAACATTTAACTAAATAAAACAAATAGCATTAAAACAAAACGCAACAATATAGAACAACCTGGCATTACAGTAGTGAGAATTTTCATGTTTACAGATTTTATATTAACACAATCTTAACCAGTTCAACCGGTTTGGACTAATTAGTGACAGATCATTAACTGAGAGTTCTGACCCGGTTAATGCAAGAGGTGAGTGAGTTCAAGAGTTTCAGGACATATTTACAAAGCCAATATTATAATAGCAATTTTTTTTATCTATTTTATGTTTTTTGTTTTTTTCCCAGTGGTTTTAAAGGTCTTATATGACTCAAAACTGACTCTTGTGAGCTTTAATAATGTTGTTTCCTCGTCACAAACAAACCTGGAGATGTGGTTTTACTATCATAAAAACTAAACAGGACTAAACCAGGACTAAACTAAAACAGGACTAAACTAAACTAGGTCTAAACCAAGACTAAACCAGGTCTAAACCAGGACTAAACAGGTCTAAACCAGGTCTAAACCAGGACTATACCAGGTCTAAACCAGGACTAAACCAGGAACTAAATCTAAACCAGGTCTAAAAAACTAAACCAGGTCTAAACCAGGACTAAACCAAGACTATACCAGGTCTAAACTAAACTAGGTCTAAACCAGGACTAAACCAGGTCTAAACTAGTTCTAAACTAAACTAGGTCTAAACCAGGACTATACCAGGTCGAAACCAGGACTAAAACCAGGTCTAAACAAACTAAACCAGGTCTAAACAGGTCTAAACTAAACTAGGTCTAAACCAGGACTAAACCAGGTCTAAACCAGGTCTAAACCAGGACTAAACCAGGTCTAAACTAAACTAGGTCTAAACCAGGACTAAACCAGGTCTAAAAAGGTCTAAACCAGGACTAAACCAGGTCTAAACTAAACTATACCAGGTCTAAACCAGGACTAAACCAGGTCTAAACTAAATTAGGTCTAAACCAGGTCTAAACCAGGACTAAACCAGGTCTAAACCAAGACTATACCAGGTCTAAACCAGGACTAAACCAGGTCTAAACTAAACCAGGTCTAAACCAGGACTAAACCAAGACTAAATTAAACGAGGACTAAACCAGGTCTAAACCAGGACTAAACGAAGACTAAATTAAACCAGGACTAAACCAGGTCTACTGATTACTAAAAAGTTTTATAGTATTTTTTTTATTATAGTTTGAGCTGAAAAATATACAAATAAAAACAGCTAAAAATACACATTGATCAAGTTGTTTCTGTATCAGAATCTGTGGAAAATATTTTTACTTTTAATTATTTCCCTCTGGTCTGTGTACTTTTATTTTCCTCAAGTTTGTGTACATTTTTTTTACATGTTCTTGTTCATGTAACTCGGATCTTATCTCAGTTCTGGAAGTTTCTGAGAATGAAGCGGAGCAGCATTCATGTGTAAGTGGAATATTTTCCCGCACCGACGTGTCTCTGGACGGTTTACGGTTTAATGACACGAGTTTCTCATGATTCACGTTAAAAACCAACAAAACGGATTATGAATTTACGAATTACGTCAAATTTACATCAAATTATAAATCAGAACTTTAAGTAAAGAAAGAAAAAAACAAAAAACAACACAGACACAAAATCTACAAACTGGACTAAAACTTTATACAACTGAACTAGAATAAACTAGGACTAAACCAGGTCTAAAACAGGACTGAACCAGGTCTAAACCAGGACTAAACTAGGACTAGAACTAGGACTAAACCAGGATTAAATCAGAACTAAACCAGGACTAAACCAGGTCTAAAACAGGACTGAACCAGTTCTGAACCAGGACTAAATCAGAACTAAACCAGGACTAAACCGGGACTAAACCTGATCTAAATCAGGACTGAACCAGTTCTAAACTAGGACTAGAACTAGGACTAAACCAAGATTAAATTAGAACTAAACCAGGACTAAACAAGGTCTAAATCAGGACTGAACCAGTTCTAAACCAGAACTAAACCAGGACTAAACCGGGACTAAACCTGGTCTAAATCAGGACTGAACCAGGACTAAACCAGGACTAAACCGGGACTAAACCTGGTCTAAATCAGGACTGAACCAGTTCTAAACCAGGACTAGAACCAGTTCTAAACCAGGACTAAACTAGGACTAGAACTAGGACTAAACCAGGACTAAACCAGAACTACAACCAGGTCTAATCCAGGACTAAACCAGGACTAGAACCAAGACTAAACCAGGTCTATTTCAGAACTAAACCAGGTCTAACCAAGACTAAACCAGGTCTATTCCGAAACTAAACCAGAACTTAACCAGGTCTAATCAGGACAAAACCAGGTCAAATCCAGTTCTAAACCTATAAAACCTATTTTATCTGCATGAGTGACAGATGGACACGTGTAATGCCGCACTGTGGAATATTCCGGACAAAGGGACATGATGAAAGTATTTGAGAATGAAGCGGAGCAGCATTCATGAGTAAGTGGAATATTTTCCCGCACCGACGGTTTACGGTTTAATGACACGTGTTTCTCATGATTCACGTTACTTATAAAACAGTACTAATACTACTACTACTACTACTACTACTACTACTACTTTGTACTTCTACTTGAGTAATATTATTCTGAAGTAACATTATTTTTACTGAAGTACAATTGTTGGTGACTCATCCTCCTCTGGGGTTTAATCAAATCAGTAAATAAAAAAAAATAAAAATAAACACAAGTTCTAAAAATTTGACTAAAACTGTATAGAAGTGAACTAAGTCTAAACCAAGTCTAAACCAGGACTAAACCAAGTCTAAACCAGGACTAAACCAGGTCTAAACCAGGACTTAACTAGGACTAAACCAGGACTAAACTAGGACTAAACCAGGACTAAACCAGTTCTAAACCAGGACTTAACTAGGTCTAAACAAGGTCTGTTCCAGAACTATACCAGGTCTAAACCAAGACTAAACTAGGACTAAACCAGGACTAAACTAGGACTAAACCAGGACTAAACCAAGACTAAACCAGGACTAAACTAGGACTAAACTAGGACTAAACTAGGACTAAATATGGACTAAACCAGGACTAAACTAAAACTAAACCAGGTCCAAACCAGTTCTAAACCAGGACTAAACCAGGTCTAAACAAGGTCTAAACAAGGTCTATTCCAGAACTATACCAGGTCTAAACCAGGACTATACCAGAACTAAACTAGGACTAAACCAGGTCTAAAACAAGACTAAACCAGAACTGAACCAGTTCTAAACCAGGACTAAACCACTACTAAACCAGGTCTAAACAAGGTCTATTCCAGAACTATACCAGGTCTAAACCAGAAATAATCCAGGTCCAAGCCAGGACTAGAACCAAGACTAAACCTGAACTAAATCAGAACTAAACTAGGTCTAAACCAGGACTAAAACAAGACTAAACCAGATCTAAGCCACAAATAAACCAGAATTAAATCAGCACTAAACAAGTTCTATTCCAGACTAATCCAAGTCTAAGTCTAAACCAGGTCTAAACCAGGACTAATCCAGGTCTAAACCAGGTCTAATCCAGGTCTAAACCAGGTCTGAGCAGGTTGACCTTTCCTCCAGATCAGATGGAGGATGTGAGTTTACTTAAGTTAACGAGACGGTGACACAAAAAACTAAATACGGCAGAAAAATAGAAACCCACCAAACCGGGTCTGAACCAGGTCTGGACCAGGTCTGAACCAGGTCTGGACCAGGTCTGAACCAGGTCTGAACCAGGTCTGAACCAGGTCTGGACCAGGTCTGAACGACAAGAAAAGAACAAAACAAACACGACACTTTCACTTAAAAATTTAAAACTTAAAACTTTAAATCACCCAGCACTTTTATTTTCAAAGTGTAAATCGAAAATCTTAAGTTATAAAACCAGGAATGAAATGTGAAAATGATCAAAATAGCTGTTTAGATTTAAAGCTGCACTGCATAACTTTTCTTGGTGGAGCGTCCGCTGTCTGCTTGCCTGAAATGTTCCATGATGTGACTTTAAACACATCCATCAGCGTTTATTCAGTACTTGTTCCTGTTGCTTAAAAATACAATATTTCCTTCTGTGAATAGACGCGCCTCTCCGCAGATCTGAGCTGTAACGTGGCCTAGTTCTATAAATAGGATTAGTCTGTACTGTGGGACATTCTAGAGGAAGCGATAATGTTTCCATGGCGACAAATAGGTCTAAACCAGGTCTAAACCCAGGACTAAACTAGAGCTAATAAAGAACTATATCAGGTCTAAACTAGGACTAAACCAGGTCTAAACCCAGGACTAAACTAGAGCTAATAAAGAACTATATCAGGTCTAAACCATGACTAAACCAGGTCTAAACTAGGGCTAAACCAGGACTAAACCAGGTCTAAACCCAGGACTAAACTAAGACTACACCAGTTCTAAACCAGGACTAGAACCAAGAATAAACTTGGTCTAAACCAGAACTAAATCAGAACTAAACTAGATCTAAACCAGGACTAAAACAAGACTAAACCAGGACTAAACCAGGACTAACCTAGGACTAAACCAGGACTAAACCAGGTCTAAACCCAGGACTAAACTAAGACTACACCAGTTCTAGACCAGGACTAAACCAGGTCTAAACCAGGACTAGAACCAAGAATAAACTTGGTCTAAACCAGGACTAAACCAGAACTAAACTAGATCTAAACCAGGACTAAACCAGGTCTAAACCGGGACTAACCTAGGACTAAACCAGGTCTAAACCCAGGACTAAACTAAGACTACACCAGTTCTAGACCAGGACTAAACCAGGTCTAAACCAGGACTAGAACCAAGAATAAACCAGGACTAAACCAGAACTAAATCAGAACTAAACTAGATCTAAACCAGGACTAAAACAAGACTAAACCAGGACTAAACCAGGACTAACCTAGGACTAAACCAGGACTAAACCAGGTCTAAACCAGGACTAGAACCAAGAATAAACTTGGTCTAAACCAGGACTAAACCAGAACTAAATCAGAACTAAACTAGATCTAAACCAGGACTAAACCAGGTCTAAACCAGGACTAAAACAAGACTAAACCAGGTCTAAACCAGGACTAAAACAAGACTAAACCAGGTCTAAACCAGGACTAAAACAAGACTAAACCAGGACTAAACCAGATCTAAGTCACAACTAAACCAGAACTAAATCAGAAATAACAAGATCTATTCCAGAACTAAACCAGGACTAATCCAAGTCTTAGTCTAAACCAGGTCTAAACCAGGTCTAAACCAGGTCTAAACCAGGTCTGAACCAGGTCTAAACCAGGTCTGAACCAGGTCTGAACATGTTGACCTTTCCTCCAGATCAGATGGAGGATGTGAGTTTACTTAAGTTGACGAGGCGGTGACACAGGTTTAGGTTTAGGTCAGTGGGGCAAATCCTGACGCCGAGAAAAACAACAAAACACCGCAAAAAAATAGAAACCCACCAAACCGGGTCTGGACCGGGTCTGGACCGGGTCTGGACCAGGTCTGGACCGGGTCTGGACCGGGTCTGGACCGGGTCTGAACCACAACAAAAGAACAAAACAATCCACACTTTTAAAACTTAAACCCATGGAAATCGAAAATCTTAAATTATAAAACCGGGAAAAACGTGAAAATTACCAAAAATACTTGTTTAGATTTAAAGCTGCATTGCGCAACTTTTCTCGTGGACGGTTTACTATCTTCTTGTCTCCGTGGAGATGTTATCGCGTCGCCTGAAATGTTCCATGACATGACTTTAAGCACATCCATCAGCGTTTATTCAGTACGTGCTTTTCTGTTGCTCAAAAATACAGCGAATAGACGCGCCTCTCCACAGATCTGACCTGCAGTCTAGCACAGTGAGAGTTTGAGAAGGACTGTAAACCAGGACTAAACCAGAATTAAACCAGGTCCAAACCAGGACTAAACCAGGTCCAAATCAAGACTAAATGAGAATCAAATCTGGGACTAAACCAGGATTAAACTAGGGCTGAAGCAGGTCCAAACCAAGGCTAAAGCAGGACTATAAACCAGGACTAAACCGGGTCCAAACCAGGTCTGAACCAGGATTAAATCAGGATTAAATCAGGACTAAATCAGGACTAAAGCAGGACTATAAACCAGGATTAAACCAGGTCCAAACCATGTCCAAAATAGGGACTAAATCGGAACTAAACCAGCGGCTAAAACAGGTCCAAACCAGGACTAAAGCAGGACTACAAACCAGGATTAAACCAGGTCCAAAATAGGGATTAAATCAGAACTAAACCATGGACTAAAACAGTTCCAAACCAGGATTACACGAGGATTCAAGCAGGACTGTAAACCAGGAATAAACCAGAATTAAACAAGGTCCAAACCAGGAATAAACCAGGTCCAAATCAGGACTAAAGCAGGACTATAAACCATGTCCAAACCATGTCCAAAATAGGGACTAAACCAGAACTAAACCAGGATTAAACTAGTTCCAAACCAGGTCCAAACCATTGATTAAACCAGGACTAAACCTGGACTCAACCAGGGACTAAACCATGACCAAACCAGGTCCAAACCAGGGACTAAACCAGGACTAAAGTGGAACTATAAACCAGGATCAAACCAGAATTAAACAAATTCCAAACCAGTTAAAAGAGCCAGGTCCAAACCAGGACTAAACCAGGACTAAACCAGTTACAAAACCAGGTCCAAACCAGGACTAAACCACTAAAACATAAATGATCTAACCTCATTGTTTTTGTTCATTCAGTAACAGTTTCCTAATCTCTTGCACCTACCTGTTCTGTGGTTCTGGACTCTCGGTCTGGTTCTGGACTCTCGGTCTGGTTCTGGACTCTTGGTCTGGTTCTGGTCTCTCGGTCTGGCTTTAGTCTTTGGTTCTGATTCTGTTCTGGGTCTTGATCTGTAAACCTTCTGCACACAGACTTCAGAATAAACCCATTGACACTTGGAGCTCCTTTTATTGCTGTGTCAGTTTAAGCCCCGCCCCTTCCTCCCTCCCTCCTGCGCACCTGCCCAGGTGAATGCCGCCTGACAGGTTCACCGCTGACAGGACAGGAACCTTTTCCGACCTTCGCAATCTCATCGTTTACTTTATAATTAATCGTTTTTAATGGCTTTAGGCGGTGTTGACTCTCGTTCACTCTGCGCTCGTCGCCGCGGATCTTTTGTTGTCGTTTTGAGAAGTAGGTCAGAGGTCATGTTTATTTTTTTTTTTTTTGCGATGACGTTTTTACGTTCTTCACTTTCCCCTGTAGCCTCCGGCGACACTTAAAGCCGCGCTGACTTTCTTGTCTTGGTCTTAGCCTTTAAAAGTCTCGGTCTTGAGTCGGTCTTGACCTTTAAAACTCTCGGTCTTGTCTCGGTCTTTAAAAGTCTCGGTCTCGGTCTCGTCTCGGTCTCGGTCTTTAAAAGTCTCGGTCTTGTCTCGGTCTTTAAAAGTCTTTGTCTTGTCTCAGTCTCAACCTTTGAAAGTCTCAGTCTTGCCTCAGTCTTGTCTCAGTCTTGTCTCGGTCTCGACTTTTGAAAGTCTCGGTCTTGTCTCGGTCTCTTCTCGGTCTTGTCTCGGTCTCGACCTTTAAAACTCTCGGTCTTGTCTCGGTCTCGTCTCGGTCTTGTCTCAGTCTCATCTCGGTCTCTTCTCGGTCTTGTCTCGGTCTCGGTCTTTAAAAGTCTCTCGGTCGGTCTTGTCTCTCTTGTCTCGGTCTTTAAAACTCTCAGTCTTGTCTCAGTCTCGGCCTTTAAAAGTCTTTGTCTTGTCTCGGTCTCAACCTTTGAAAGTCTCGGTCTTTAAAAGTCTCGGTCTTGTCTCGGTCTCGGCCTTTAAAAGTCTCAGTCTTTAAAAGTCTCGGTCTTGTCTCGGTCTTGTCTCGGTCTCTCGACCTTTAAAAGTCTCGGTCTTGTCTCGGTCTTAAAAGTCTCGGTCTTGTCTCGGTCTTTAAAAGTCTCGGTCTTGTCTCGGTCTCGGTCTTTAAAAGTCTTGGTCTTGTCTCGGTCTCAACCTTTGAAAGTCTCAGTCTTGTCTCGGTCTTGTCTCAGTCTTGTCTCAGTTTCGACTTCTGAAAGTCTTGGTCTTGTCTCGGTCTCGTCTCGGTCTTGTCTCAGTCTCATCTCGGTCTCTTCTCGGTCTTGTCTCGGTCTCGACCTTTGAAAGTCTCGGTCTTGTCTCGGTCTTTAAAAGTCTCGGTCTTGTCTCGGTCTTTAAAAAACGCTCGGTCTTGTCTCGGTCTCGACCTTTAAAACTCTTGTTCTTGTCTCGGTCTTTAAAAGTCTCGGTCTCGGTCTTTAAAACTCTCGGTCTTGTCTCGGTCTCGGCCTTTAAAAGTCTTGGTCTTGTCTCGGTCTCGGTCTTTAAAAGTCTCGGTCTTGTCTCGGTCTTTAAAAGTCTCGGTCTTGTCTCAGTCTCGGCCTTTAAAACTCTTGGTCTTGTCTCGGTCTTTAAAAAGTCTCGGTCTTGTCTTGGTCTCGATCTTTGAAAGTCTCGGTCTTGTCTCGGTCTTTAAAAGTCTCGGTCTTGTCTCGGTCTCGGTCTTTAAAACTCTCAGTCTTGTCTCGACCTTTAAAAGTCTTGGTCTTGTCTCGGTCTCGGTCTTTAAAACTCTCAGTCTTGTCTCGACTTTAAAAGTCTCGGTCTTGTCTCGGTCTCGGTCTTTAAAACTCTCGGTCTTGTCTCGGTCTTTAAAAGTCTTGGTCTTGTCTCGGTCTCGGTCTTTAAAAGTCTCGGTCTTGTCTCGGTCTTTAAAAGTCTCGGTCTTGTCTCGGTCTCGACTTTTGAAAGTCTCGGTCTTGTCTCGGTCTCATCTCGGTCTCTTCTCGGTCTTGTCTCGGTCTCGACCTTTAAAACTCTCGGTCTTGTCTCGGTCTTTAAAAGTCTCGGTCTTGTCTCTCGGTCTTTAAAAGTCTCGGTCTTGTCTCGGTCTTTAAAAGTCTCGGTCTTGTCTCGGTCTTTAAAAGTCTCGGTCGTCTTGTCTCTGTCTTTAAAAGTCTCGGTCTTTGTCTCGGTCTTTAAAAGTCTCAGTCTCGGTCTTGTCTCGGTCTTTTAAAAGTCTTGGTCTTGTCTCGGTCTCTTCGGTCTTGTCTCGGTCTCGTCTCGTCTCGGTCTTGACTCTCGTTCACTCTGCGCTCGTCGCCGCGGATCTTTTGTTGTCGTTTTGAGAAGTAGGTCAGAGGTCGTGTTTTTTTTTTTTTTTTTTTTTTTTTGCGATGACGTTTTTACGTTCTTCACTTTCCCCCGTTGCCTCCGGCGACACTTAAAGCCGCGCTGACTTTACTGTGGAACAATCACAACAATCTCAGTTTAAACAAGCAAATCCCACGTGTTTTATTTTGTATTTTTGGTCTGAACACACAAAATATGACTCTTTTCAGTTTTAAATCTTGTTATAATGTTGTTTCTTTTTCCAAAAACAGAGCTGGAGTTGTGTTTGAGTAACTCTTTATTATTTGTCTGTTTACATCCAAAGCTCCAAATGCTCAGTTCCACCTTGTGATGTCATGAAGCATTAGTTTTCGAGTTAATAGACACTGACACTGCCAAAGTAACTGTAAAATATAAATAAAATAAATGTTGAAAATGACAAAAATGGTCTTGATTTGATGATGAATGTAAGAATATCATGCATCATTTGTGCTGGAGATTTTATTTGGCATTAATAAAAACATTTTAAAGGTTGTATGGAGGATTTTTTTTTTGTTTCAAACTGTCAGTGAAAGATTAAAATAGAGACGCAGCAGCTTTGTAATTATGATGACCAAAAAAAAAAAGAACGAAAATCTATCAACTGTGGACGTGTTGAGGCCAGATAAACATCAGCCAATAGAAAACGAGGCTCCCTCATTTTCTATTGGCTGTTAGGTTGTCAATCAAACTCCCTAGTGTAACTGACTCGTCGGAGCGCGGGGATTACGTGGTTTACGCAGAGGTTCTTAGAGGCTTTTTCGAACTGTCGCTTCCTCGCATTTCGCACAAAGTTTGTCGCGACGGCGGACGAGAATCCACGACCGGTTCGCCGCGAAAGAAAGTCCGTTTTTGAGGTCGCCGAAAGAAGAAGAGAAGAGGAAAAGGAGCAAAGCCAAACTGAGGTGATTCTTGGAGATCTCGTCCAGCGATGGCGCGACCGAAGCAGACGAAGGGTCTAAAAACTGACGCGTCGGTCGCTGAATTACTTCTAGACAGGAAACTTCAACAGTAATTCTGAACGCGCACAAGGACTGTCGCTGTATTTCTCTTCCCTTAAAAAAATCCTCTATACAACCTTTAAGCAGCAGACCGTCACCTCTCCCGTACGCCGCGCAGACTGACCCACCCGTCCCTTACGCCGCGCGAACAGTCCTTCCTTCTGTACGCCGCGCAGACAGTCCCCCCATCCCGTACGCCGCGCGAACAATTCCCCCATCCCGTACGCCGCGCGAACAATTCCCCCATCCCGTACGCCGTGCGAACAGTCCCTCCTTCCGTAAGTCGTGCTGCCTGCGCAACAAAACCAGAACTAAACCAGGTCTAAAAACAGCTCTAAAACCAGGACTAAAACAGGATTTAGCCAGGACTTGACCATGCCGCCGGATCGCCCACCGCGCCTCCTCCCAGACGCGGCCCAATTTCTTTCACTTCTCCGTGTTTGATAGAGTTTAAGAAAGCAAAGGTTCCCATCCTGTGGGACTTGCGGGCGAGAGTGTGACAAAATATTGCAGATGCGGGCGGGAGCGGGACTGAAAATTACAATTCTTTGCGGGAGCGGGACTCAAAATTCTGTCCTGCGCAGACCTCTACTTTAAAAGTCTCGGTCTTGTCTCAGTCTCGGCCTTTAAAACTCTCGGTCTTGTCTCGGTCTTGGGACCCTGTGGCCTCGGACTAGTCTCGGTCTTGATCCTAGGAGGAGGTCAGTTCACATTGATTTGAATCACTTTCCGTCACACACACACCCGTACACACACACACACACACACGACATTGATTGATTGATAATTTGCAGTGACGTAACTGTAAACGATCAATACTGAGAATGAGAAAAACCTGTCCTCTGTCGACAGGCGAAGCTCTGGCAGGTGCACACCTTCTCAGAACCTGCTGCTGGGAGAGGCTTCCTGTCACTGGAGTAAAGTGAAATTCTGGTCTAATTGTTTCTGGGATTCTGTGCTGCACCTTTTGAATCTTTTCTGATTAATGTGACTGAGAAAATTCCCCACAGTTTATCTCCAAAGGTCCAAAGTTTATCTGTTTGTTCATCTGTGAGCCTGAGTTTGTGACGTTTGTTGTAGACCCGGGGTTTTCAGATTGGGTGAACGTGAGCCTCCCCTTAGAGCAGGTAAAAACAGCCGACCCCCCTTCCCCAGACTCCCATCCTCCTGCAACAAATATTTTAACAAATAATTGAGGCGACTTTTAACATCATTGGACATCAGTAAGTCTATCCAAATCAACAGAACATGCTTAATATTTGTAATCGGTGCCAAAAACTCCAACTGAAGACACCTGATGGATGAAATGGGCGTGTGAAATCTCATGGTCTCAAATACTCGAATGCTGTTTTCTCCATCTCTGCACAATCAGCAAAATCAAAACTATCCTCACCCTGTCCTGATCTTCGTCCAGTGAAGTCGTCCAGGTAATCATCTTCTCCGTCTAGACCACAGGTGTCAAACATAAGGCCCGGGGGCCGGATGCGGCCCTCCAAGACCATTAATCTGGCCCTCGTCTTATTTCTACTAAAATATTTTAATTATATTTTTTATTTAAATATTGGTAATTTTCTGCGGTGCTTAGCATTAGCAGCGTCTCTGTACGTGGCCCCTCCCACCAGAGCAGCACAAATGAAGACTTGTCTCTTTCCAAACGCTCTTAAAGGACGATCGTTTTGACTGTTGACCGTGACACCCTCATCAGAAAAATGTCCAACATGAGAAAAGTGGAGCCGAG